ACACTGGAAAGTTCCGCAAAATTCCAACTGGAGCATATGATTGATGACTCTTGGCTATGGAGGTATCCTATTGGAGAATATTAATTATGATACACCCAGGGGGTGGGGGAAAACCAGGGTCAAGGGTGACAATGAATGATGTGTCTCAGAGTCGGTTACACCCAGGCACCGCTGGCATGTTTACTCCTAATAAATCTTCTTTAAGCTTTGAAAATCCGGCTAGAGACTCGTAATTTAAATGGGGGTAACTACCAGAGCCCTGACGATGGGATTACTGCAGTGGTGGGATTCAACAACTGGTTTGGTGAGCACACGTGCAACGTTTTAGAAACAGCCAATTTTCAGCTAAAACTTACCTTCTGCTGCAGGCCCGGGGAGTAGAACAGCTGATCAGCTGGGCTTCAAAACACGGAAATAAAGGACAGATTAGGGCAGGGGTGGGTGGACGGGTCCAACTGATTGCCGGAACTACCGGTTTACTCAAACCGGTCCGTACCAGTTGAATCCCACCCCTGGATTACTGTACTTTCTCTGAATAGAAATCTCTCTGCTTGTTGCAAACTGCATCTACTCCACACAGCATCGATGTAGTCTAATTATAATGATTTGGGGGCCGCCTTTAAAATGAGCAAAAGGAAGTGATTCATCACTTAAGTGCTTGGTTAAACGGGAGAGCTCAGCGTGAAACAATTGAAGCTGATAGGCACAAATGAACAGGAGTGTTCAGAAGCCATCTATTCCCTAACCATCACATTCTTGGCTACGGAAACAGAAGAAATTATGACGATACCTACAAAACCTTACATTCTGTTTCTTATCCCACCCACCCCCTCTCTCCCTTTCCATCTGCCATTTCCCTCTTACTTTTAGATTCCTTATTCTTATGAAGTAAAGTGATGCGGTAGCTCAGTGGTTAAGATGCTAGGCTTGCTGGCTGGAAAGCCGGTAACCTGAATTCAAGACCCCAGCTCCATGCAATGGGGTGAGCTCCCATCTTCGCTCCAGCTCCTGCCAACCTAGCAGTTTGAAAGCATGCAAATGTGAGTAGATAAATAGGCACCATTTCAGTGGGTAGGTAACAACGCTCCATGATGTCATGCCGGCCACAATGAATGTATTACCAAAGTTAGACCAAGGCATTTGCAGGTAGTCCTCAACTTACAACTACAACTGGGACCAGAATTTCCATTGCTAAGCAGGACAGTTGTTAAGTGAGTCAAATCAGATTTTATAATTATTATTTTTTTGCCATAGTTGTTAAATGAATTCCTGTGGTTATTAAATGAACTGTATTAGTCATTAAGCAAATCTGCAGCGCCCCCCGCCCCCCGGCTCAACTTTGCTGACGGGGAAGGTTGCAAATGGTGATCACATGATCCTCAATCACTGCAGCCATTGTAAAATTGTAAAATACATGACAGTTGTCATATTTTGACATCGCCTGACAGTGGGGATGCTGCAACTATTGTTAAGTGCAAGGACTAAACAATTGTAAGGCACTTTTTCAGTGGCATTGTAACTTCAATCAGTCACTAAACAAATGATTGTAAGTTGAGGACTGCTTGTCGCAACGACTGTATCTGAGTTTACCACAAGACACCAAAGCAGCTCAGATTAGAATTTAGTGGTTCTTTTTCCAAACTTGGCAACTTTACAAAGGTTGGACTTCAACTCCCAGAATTCCCCAGTCAGCACTGAAACGTTGAAGTCCATACATCTTAAAGTTGCCAAATTTAAAAAGCACTGGTTTAATACAGTCGGTCAAGACCACAAACATTTCTTCATTATCTATCATTACTAAATGTTGCCGTTGAAACACGACACCACTAGATGGAGTTTTGCCTTCAATTTTTGGAGAACTCTTGTTTACAACCTCAACTTAGCAACTGTAGAGCTTCCCATTCCTGATTTCTGAATACTATAATTTCTTGGAGGATTGGCCTTTTAAATTATCTAGAAAATACCCTGAAAGGGGGTGCGTGCTAAAAGGTCAACTTTACTTCTGAAAACTTCTGAACAGAGGAAGAATTTCATGGAATTATAAGAGGTGGGTATGGAAAAAAAATTTACATTATTAAATTTTCACTTTTTTCTCTCTCTAGCAGAAACACCTGTGGGATGTGCAAAACTTTGTGTGTGTGTATGTATGTGTGTAGACTTCTTGACTCATTCAACTTTTTTTGGACTGTATTCAGCATTCTCATTAAAAAAACACTTAGCCAATTAGGGCCCTCTGAATCAGTGTAAAAATTGTCTCTTAACCCATGTTGTAATGATAGAATAAGGGCATAATCTGATTTAATGGTGGTTTTTTTTAGATTCTCAGTCTGTTGTCTATGGAGATCAGTATGCTTACAGATATGCTTACAGAAAGTCTTTGTGCTTTTTTGCATCCTCTGCAGTGGTGGGATTCAATTTTTTTTACTACCAGTTCTGTGGGCATGGCTTGGTGGGCGTGGCAAGGGAAGGATACTGCAAAATCTCCATTCCCTCCCCATCCCACTAACCTGCTTTCCAGCTCCGTTCTCCTGTGCAGGGCAACCAAAGAAGACCCAGCCGATCAGCTGGGATTCGGGAGGCAGAGAATAGATGGGGTTGGTGGGGCCAGTCAGAGGTAGGATTTGCCAGTTCTCCAAACTACTCAAAATTTCTGCTACCGGTTCTCCAGAACTGGTCAGAACCTGCTGAATACCACCTCTGATCCTCTGGAGTTTATTTATTAAATGCATATGCCACCCATTTCACTGCTGAAACGACCCTGGGTGGCTGATGCTTTGTTTTGGAACAGGCCACAGATCTATGGCAGTAACATTGGGAGTGGGCCAGATTTTCCCTGTGGATGTCTGAGAAATATTTTGCTTAGGACAGGAAATACCCAAAATTTTCAGCAACCTTCCTGCCCTCTAAAGTTAAGATTCCCTATGCACCAAAGTGATAAAATAGTTTTATAGGGAAGAAAATAATACCCTCAGCCTGCTCCATGTACTTGTGTTCAGCCAGAAATGCTAATGATGCTTTATAATGCTCTTTATTGCATCAGTAGCAAATGTGTGAGAAATGTCAGAGACAAATAGTTATGTGCCTAGGGGCAATCATTATGGGTTAAGTAAAAAGCAATTCCCAGTAGGCTCATATCCATTGGATTTCTGAAAGGGGAAACAAGAATTACAAATGTTTTTTCTGGAGATTTAGAAAGGCAGCAGTCGCATTATGAAAATATAAGTAACAATTGTTGTCTGCACCAACTGGCAAGTAAGTGGGAGAAAACAAAGTTATTTTTAAAAATCAAAGAATGACTTTTAAAGATTAATAGGATTATTATAAAAAGGATCAGGAGAGAAAACAATGTTATTTTTAAAAATCAAAGAATGATTTTTAAAGATTAATAGGATTATTATAAAAAGGATCAAATATGTAGCTGGGAGGATTTGGGCAACGAATGCCTTTATAGCCTGGATTTATAACTGATATTAAGGCAACAATTCTAAACTTATTCTTCAGCAGTAAATCCACACTTCTTCAAAAGGCAACTGGACTTTCTTGGTTTTTCCTTGAAGATGTTTTGCTTCTCATCCAAGAAGTGCCTTCAGTTCTTCAGAAGTCTCCTGAATGCTTCTGGATCTGGTACTGAAGAAGTTTCTTGGATGAGAAGCAAAAAAAATGTCTTCAAGGAAAGTCCAATTGCCTTTTGAAGAAGCATCTTTGGGACAATTGTGACCTGGATGGCTGAGAATTTCCATAGACATTCACACTGACTGCATATGTTTATGGATAAATATATGCAGGACTTCTATGGCAGTGGTCCCCAACCTTTTTTGTACCACGGACCGGTACAATCCACGGACCGATCCACGGTACCGGCATCAGCACGCACGACCAAGGCAAGGCAAGCCGAGCGACCGGCCAGCCAGCCGTCCCCCGCTTCTCCCCGCCACCTTCAACTCCTCCTTTGTACCTTCTCGCGGTCGATGGGCTTTTCGGGCTCTTTCTTAATCTCCTCCTGAGTAACGCGAGACTCCACCGCCATTGGGACGGCTTTTCGTTCGAACCCGCCCCGCCTTCTTCGACGAAACTAAGGTGCGAGGATTCCTTCAGCACCCAAACGCCGCTTTCCAACCGACGACCGACAAGCTCACCTGGAAGCACTTTCTCAAGCGCCGTCAAAAGAAGATGGTGGCGCCCAAGCAAAATAAGCGGCCCGGTACAAAATGATCCACGGACCAGTACCGGTCTGGGGCCTTGTGGTTGGGGACCCCTGTTCTATGGGACATTTATGAATTTGCTATCCTTGGGCCCATTGTTTATTTAAATCCAATTACCCATGTTTTCTCGAAAATAAGACCCTGTCTTATATATATTTTTGCCACCAAATAAAGCACCAGGTCTTATTTTCGGGAGATGTCATCCACTAACCTCACTTGCGTGTGTTGCCCCTGGCCTCCTTTTCGCTGTCAGAAGCCTTCAGGAATGTCTTCTTCTGAGGCCGGCAAGGCTTTCCTGAAGGCCTCTGCAGCTGATAATAGACCTCCAGATTGATCCAGAGCTTTGTTATCAGCTACAGAGGCCTTCAAGAAAGCCTTGCCAGCCTCAGAAGAAATTGGCCGCCAAGGCAGGTGTCAGGGTGTGCAAGGCCTAGTTACAACTGTCCAAAGGTAAGTAGTAGGGCAGCTCCATCCCCCACATCCCCACCCTAGCTTAATTTTTACCTGTGCACTCTGGAGTGGGTGGGATCTTAATTAGGGCTTATTTTGGGAATAGGGCTTATATTGGGTGCATGTGTAAAAATCAAACTAGGACTTACTTTCAGGGCAGGTTATATTTTCAGGGAAACAGGGTATAATCTTGTATTTCATAATCATTCCAAATCTGCTTCTTGAATCAAGGCATCTAGAACATGGTGCTAAAATCCAGGACTAAACATTTGATGTACTTTCCATGCCCAGGTAAAGACAACTACTTCTAATTTGTGTGTGCAAAGAAGACAACCCCATTTGTCTGCAATGGAATATGACTTACACAGGAAGAAGAAAGTCACATCTCTTTTAAAAGCCAGCCCTTACACAGTGTATGTATTTCTTATCATGTTTTAGAAATATAATGGAGGTGGGGATTATTATTATTTTACTTTAAAATACCATTGCAACCCTATAGCACCACCAGCTTTATGAAGGCAAGATGCACTAGTAAGAGAATACAGAAGGCGGAAAATACCAAAAAAAATTATGAGCAACTCACTCTTACTTATGCATCCTGATTTTCTTCATTTATTAGCTGGAAGACTCAAATTCAAGAAGTCCCCACTGGCACTTATACAACATTTGCCCAACAACTTTAACATTGATCCTCAATGGAAAGCCATCTGGGTCGCTGAATGCCCAGACATAGGAAGACATATAAATGACCCCACAAAAAAGGAGCCAGCTTTGAATTATATCAGCAACAAACAATCCTGAATAGGATTTGCACCTCAGTGTCTGTTGGAACTCTCTGTATAAATGGGGGCATAGTATCCTCCCCTTCGTGTGACTGTGAGATCCCACGTCAAACTGTTAGATCTCATCATGACCAGCTTTGTATGTTGAGTGGTCCAATACTGGTCCAATATCTGATTTTTAAAAAATATAAACAATGCTGCGCTTCAATGGTTAGATGGCCTAGACCACGGGTGTCAAACTCGTGGTATCACGTTGCTGTCACGTGATGTTTTGCGATGTTTTTCCCCTTCGTGGAGCTAAAACTTAAAACTTGCGGAATTTTTCCCCTTCACGGAGCCATAAAGCCTACAAACTTGAAATTTGGCACATATGTTCCTCTTGGCTTCTAGCTCACTAAGAAAGGATTTTTCGAAATGACCATCAGAGCATTAGTATTTCCTACATTACTATTAACACGCTCTGATGCTAAGGAGTTCTACTCCCCCTCCCCACCTGAAAAGAAATCTGTTCCAAATGCAAAACACAAGCAGAGGAGTTTCAGTTTTAGTTTCATAGCAGCAACTAGCTTTAGTACAGAACAGTTGAGCTAAGCCATGCCCAGGCTCTTTGCTGTCTTTCTTCTCACACAGCAAATACTGTTTCAGTTTCCAAACAGCCCTCAACTCTCTCATACACTGACAGGACGCTAGCCAGATGAATACTGATGGATGCTGGTAGGCAGAGGCAGAATTTCCCCCCCTTATTTTCCTCCCCCAAAACTAAGTCCGATCACATAGTTTTGTAGCAAATTGGTGAGGGTTTACCCTGAAAGATATTGGGCGGTAGGAATCTGGGTTTGAAATTAGCCAAGGGAAAAGAAGATGATCATGAGATGAACCAATTATGTTTCTTCTTCTTTTCTCTCCCATGTGATTTCTTGCTCTTGTACCAGAAGACCCAATTTCTCCTTAATTCTAGGTTGCTTCTCTTCTTGATTAATTTCCACCTTTTGCTTCTTGTCCTGCCCTCAGGTGCTTTGGAGAATAGCTTGATGCCCTTCTTCTTTGTGGCAGGCCCTTCATGAGAGGAGGGCATGGACCCTTAGCCATTAACTTTGGTGTTTCCCAAAGTTATTACTAACTCTTACTGTTAATTTTGCAGGCATGATCGCGTTGAATTTGCTGAGCTTACAAAACGTTTCTCAAAAGCTTTTAAGGAAAAAATAACCAACCCTCTTCATTTTGACATCTGCTGGGGTTCCCCTTTCAAGCTGCGGCACGTGACAACTATTTTGAAAGTCCAAGCCCCTTCTGTACAATGTAAGTCGGTGTATTTAGGAGGTGGGTGATGGGTTACTGCAAGGGTGTCAAACTCAATTTGAGGGCCGTATCAGGGTAGTTTGTTTGACCTCAAGGGGCCGGGGTGGGTATAGCCAGGGTGTGGCCAGCATGATGTCACTCGTGTCGGGGGGGGGGGCGCCTGTGGTGGCCCAAGCGTTCTGCCAGTGAAAACGGGCTCCCGAGCTCCGTTTTTGGCTGCAATGGTCTCCTGCAACCCTCTGCCAGCAAAAATGTAGCTTGGATGGGAGCATGCCCTCACGAGCTCCATTTTCGCTAGCAGAGGCACCGCGGGCTGGTTCTTTGATGTTTCCAGGGTGGCCCCATGGGCCAGATCTAAGCATCCTGTGGGCCAGATCTCGCCCTTGGGCCTTGAGTTTGACACCCCTGGGTTACAGACTCCAAGAAGGCAATAGCATTGATGTACAGAGGCAGGAGCTCTCGCGGTTTTTTTAATTTATCTCACAAATACATGACTCTAGGCAATGTACAATTAAATGCATAAAAACATAAAAGATACAATACCTCAATATAAGGAGCCAGGTAAAACAAGGATAAAATTAAATTAAAAATCAAAAGGGAGAGAGGGGCTACAAAGTACTAACCACCCACAGGGTTGCATGCCCCTCGGTGAGCTCCACGTGAAGTGGCAAAGCCAAGTCCCCCTGATTCTTTTGAAAGTTTAGGAGAATGGGGGGGGGGACGCCTCACTTCTGGGTGGGAGGATAGCAACAGAATACTAAAGGGTTACTAATGGCCTTTCCAGCACCGAATAAAGCAAAATAGGAGATCTGTCCATTTTAGAAATAGGCAGTAAGTAGATAGGTGAAGTGTGGAACACCTTTGGTGGTTTCAAAGGTGCTTTTGAAAAAGGCAACCTGGCTTGTTTTTCCTTAAAGACGTTTCGCTTCTCATCCAAGAAGCTTTAGTAAGCCTTAGTAAGACCACACCTCTGCTTGCAACAGAATACCCAATATCACCAGGCTTGAAATGTTGGGCTTGGACAACCTTGAATTATGCTGCCTATGGTTAGACTTAAGCGTAGCACACAAAATTATCTGCTACCATGTCCTACCAGTCAATGACTACTTCAGCTTCAACTGCAATAATACAAGAGCACACAACAGATACAAACTCAATGTAAACAGCTCCAAGCTTGATTGCAGAAAGTATGACTTCGGCAACAGAGTGGTCAGTGCCTGGAACGCACTACCTGACTCTGTTGTTACATCCTCTAACCCCCACTCCTCTAACCCTTAAACTATCCACTATTGACCTCACTCCATTCCTAAGAGGTCTGTAAGAGGCGTGCATAAGTGCACCATCGCGCCTACCATCCCTGTCCTATTGTCCCCATTTATTTGTACCTGTTTCCTGTATTCTTACTCATGTTTATACCTATACCTATTATCTTGTAAGCGATTGACAAATCAAATCAAATCAAACAAACAAATAAATATTCCAGAGGGCAGGTGCAACAGTAGAGAAGACACTGTTCCGGGACCCCAACAGTTGAAATCTTTAATGATGTGGCCCATCATATACTTTCTCTTCCTAATTGGTTGGGTTGGGTTGATGTGATGGGAATAAGATGGTTCCTCAGGTGAGGAAAAGTCATGTTCTGGATGTCCCAAAGGTGCTTTTTCAGGGGGCAACTGGACGTTCTTGTTTTTCTTTGAAGATGTTTCGCTTCTCATCCAAGAAGCTTCTTCAGCTCTGACTGAATGATGGGGAATGGAAGGATTTATACTCCTTGCGGACAGCTGGTCATTTGCATTCTTTTAGAGAGCCCTTGAGGCCACTTGGAGGTTTGCCTGTGTCCTCTGGGTCACCTGAGTAATGCAAATATGTGTGGAGCCTTTTCGGCTGCAGGATGCTTTCTGCCCTGCGTCTTTTCATCCTGAAGCCAAGAAGGCCCCACCCCCATTTGCACCACTCAGGTGACCCTTTGGACACAGATAAACCTCCAAGTGGCCTCAACGGCTCTCTAAAAAGAATGCAGAGGATCAGCTGTCGACAAGGAGTATAAATCCTTCCATTCCCCACCATCCAGTCAGAGCCAAAGAAGCTTCTTGGATGAGAAGCAAAACGTCTTCAAAGGAAAGCAAGAAAGCCCAGTTGCTTCCTGAAAAAGCACCTTTGGGACAACCGTGACCTGGATGAATGAGGATCTCCATAGCCATGTTCTAAAGATATTGATCTTGTTCTACTGTATCAAGAAGTTTTCTGTTTGGTAAAAAGGGAAGAAATTGACAGAAGAGTGCCGGAGCTGCAGAAAAGTGACTTAAGGGTCATTTGTGGCCTTAAGGTTACACAACACCCACATCAACAAACTATCTTCAGTAAGAAGAGGCCAGCAGTGTTCCTCAGTTTAAGGTCTAAAGGCTGATTGCAAGTTCAGACTTTTGGCAAACAAGATTTGTATGATTTCTTGCAGCCTGGTAGGCAGGGAAGAGCATGAAGAAAGCAAGTGAAGATAATAGCTTCTCTCACCCAGGATTAATTAATTCAATTTAGCCACCACCCAAATACAGTACAGACTGACTCTGGGTGGCTCACAATAAAAGCAAACAAGATAGAAGGCAAGTCTAATATAAATAAACTTACAAAAAGAGAAATAATAAAGAATAAGATGATGACTGGCACGTTTTTGTCATTCCATTGATTGAAGCTGTTATACCTTAAGTGACAAGGGTTAAAATTTTGCCTTTTTTCCATTGATAAGAAATAGATACTTCCTATTTTAATGTCACACCTCTCCTTTTAAAGTCCACGGAATATTTACCTGACTCTAAGCGACACAGTGTTTTTAAAACTTGACAATTTTAAGAAGTGTGGACATCCCAGAATTCATGCTAACTGAGAGAATTCTGGGAGTTGAAGTCCACTTATTTTAAAGTTTGGAAAACACTGTCTTCGATGCACAGTATAATCTTAATAGTTTAGCTTTCCAGCTAAAATGAGTTTTAACTCTAAATTTGAGTTAGGGTTTTCAACTCAATTAGCGACTGCCTGCTTGGTCAACATTTGAGAGGGATAAATAGATCACCACTAGACCAAAAAAGGTAGTTCCTAAAACTTTATGCTTTGATTTATCTTTTGCAATTTTCTGCATTGCAGCATTAGAAACCGAGAGGATTTTGGAACGCCAGAGGCTTGAGAAATCTGAACTCCAACGCAAGATTTCATGGGATGGACAGATTGAACTAAAAAGCAAGATCTTTTTGGAGAGAAGACCACTGCCCCCTAGTGGTTTTAACTAGAACTTGCTTACCACTGTACATGTATTTGTCGTGTATTTCTCTGAGTAAATGTGATCCAGCCTGTGATCGAATCAACATAATAGCAGAATGAACACAAGCAGGCTAGCAAAATGGTTTCCTGCAACTGTAATATGTTCATATGTATCCACTAACAAAGAAGGGCTAGGGGTGACATGAGAGCAGTCTTCCAATATCTCAGGGGCTGCCACAAAGAAGAGAATCAAGCTATTCTCCAAAGCACCTCCCGAGGGCAGGACAAGAGGCAATGGATGGAAACTAAACAAGGAGAGAAGCAACCTAGAAATAAGGAGAAATTTCTTGACAGTTAGAACAATGAATCAGTGGAACAACTTGCCTCCAGAAGTTGTAAATGCTCCAACCCTGGAAGTTTTAAAGAAGAGATTGGACAACCATTTGTCTGAAATGGCATAGGGTTTCCTGCCTAAGCAGGGGGTTGGACTAGAAGACCTCCAAGGTCCCTTCCAACTCTGTTATTCTATTCTATTCTATTCTATTCTATTCTATTCTATTCTATTCTATTCTATTCTATTCTATTCTGTTATTAAATAACAGGAAGAAACAGGAAGAAAACAGGCAATTAATTCCTAAAGGTTCTCTATAGGAGGAAGGCATGAGACGTTGGTTTCTGGTCTTATATACCCTCAATTCTTGAGTTCCCAAGCTTATTCTGCCACATCCAAGAAGTAGATGAAAGCTTTAATTGAATTTCAATTAAACTCTGTTTAGCAACATTCCCTGATTCCTAAAAATGCAGTTTAATTACGATTTGTGATAACAAGCTGACCATGACTTGAAATTGGCACATTTCATCAAACCAGGATGAATAGCAATCTTTTATCCAACATCAGACAAAAAGTGAATATAATCAGGATATTTAGTCATGATTGTTGAATAAATTATGGTGGCCTCATTCAAAATGTTATGCCACGATGGATGAGCCCATACATTTATTTATTGTGATGTTTCTCAATGTTGGCCACTTGAAAGAGGGTGGACCAACTCCCAGAATTCCTCAGCCAACATGGCTGGCTGGGAAAGTCTGGAAGTTGAAGTTGGCGGTGTCAAATTTTTCAACATTCAATTTCCAAACATTAGAATGCACAAAAGGTGTGACGTGCCTTGGGGATTATAAAGGTATTTTGGTATCTTTAATATAATTAAATGTGCTTGGTAGGTAACTACATAAATATAACTTTTTAAACATTGTTTGTTTCATTGGTCCATACATCTTCAAGAAGCAAAGGTTGAAAAAAAATGATTTATTGTACTGATTGTCCATACAACACAATATTGTATTGTGTTTACAGTACAACAAATATTTAAAATAAAACATCAATTGTAAGAAGAAAACTACAAAATTCTAAAACTATGAATGCTATAAAATCACTCCAAGTGGATATCCTATCATTCACCATAGATTTCTGGGAATAACTCGTTTTTTAAGTATTTTACAACACCGGAAACATTCTGCTTCTACAAAAGCAGAAGATTTTGTATTATGGCTCAGATCCCTGTAAGAACAACAAAAAGTTATAATTTAAATTGATTAACTTAAAAGCAGAAGCAGAAGCTTTTGGACTCTGTTTCTGGCTAAAATAAAACATATGAGATTGGAGCGTGTAAAAATGCAAGGCTCTTTCAATTGAATATATGTATTGAATATATTTTAAAACAATACTGTCTTCTCTTTTTAATTAAGGAGCATCTGTTTTTGAACCAAGTATGTTCCTGTCTCTTACTTCTAGAAACACACAGACACGAAGAGAGGGAGAGAATCATGTTAATCTATAAGAATAAACTATATAAATCCAGTTTGACTGTTTGCTTGGTTGATAAGGTATTCCTCAGCTGTGGATGTACACTTGTCTGAAAATGAAGATAGGACTCATGGAAATTTGTTTATACTAGAGTATAGCTCTGAAGATGACATATTCTAATTATAACAAAGTGTCTTTGGATACTTACAATACATAACAAATTTATTATTGCACTCATGCCAATCGCAGCCTCCAAGCTTTGCAGCAATAAATCTATTTGCCTTGATGTCAAAATGCTTTGTGTTATTTTTCTTTCAAAAGCCTAGCATGTTCCCTCTGGATATGGAACATTTATTTCATTTGTAAGCTACAATAAAAAAAAAACCCGAAACATAATATAATCCCAGACCCTAAGATCTGCATTGTTGCTTGTAATTTACTGGGTCTAATTTCATGTATGAATATTATAAGGACCAAGAACGTGTCAGATTAAGACTTCCATTTCTATTAATATCAGCTGGAGAAGATTTGTTTATAGTCCACAAGATGTTCTGCTCATGGCAAGATGGCATCACCCATATTAGAAATATCTGTTCCAAGAAACTTGAACTAGCTCCACTTAGTTCTTTTGGACTTTTTTGTATCATATTTTGGCCCCATAGCATTCCTTAAGTAATAGAAATGGTGGATAACTGAGCATCCGTCCTTTGTCTGAAAATCGAGGACCTGTATACTGCACGAGTCAAAAAGAGGGCTGTGAAAATATTTACAGTCCCCTCACATCCCGAACATAAACAGTTTCAACTCCTACCCTCAAAACGACGCTATAGAGCATTGCACACCAGAACAACTAGACACAAGGACAGTTTTTCCCCGAACACCATCACTCTGCTAAACAAATAATTCCCTCAACCCTATTCAACTATTACAAAGTCTGCACTATTACTGTTAATCTTGTCATCACTCCTTATCACCCATCCCCTCCCACTTGTGACTGTATGACTGTAACTTTGTTGCTTGTATCCTTACGATTTATATTGACTGTTTCTTAGTATGATTTGATTGCTTATTGTACCCTATGACTATAATTAAGATTCGTACCTTATGATTCTCGAATGTATCTTGACAAATGTATCTTTTCTTTTATGTATTTACACCAAGACAAATTCCTTGTGTGTCCAATCACACTTGGCCAATAAAATATTCTAAATCTAAAAAAACATGTGTTTCTGTACATAGGAAAAAAATATAACAGACTGCAGCCAATTACTAGTGGTATTTCAAGAGCTATAAATCACATAGCAAGCAGTGTAAAAAATGAGGGATGATTGATTCCATAGCTATGTCTAAAGTTTTGTAGAATTCAGACAGTTTGAAAACAAGTATGGAATTCATTTGAACTGAAATTTTCTTGAAAATAAGGGTAGAAGTCGCTTGAAGCTGAAAACAAGCAGATATATTGGACACAAAACAGAATTATTACATGACATATTTTAAAAAGTGACTTTTTATTTACACCGGGGAATTGTTTCAGCAGTTAGAAGTTTAGATATTTGATAATTCACCTTTTTTTTTGTAAAAGTATATAAATATATACACAAGCCTTTATATAAACATTGTAACGTGTGATACAGTAAATAATTGCTATTTTCCCATACACGAGTAAGTAAAGCTTAAATACTGATTTCAAGTATTTTCTATAGAAATCTCTACAATATTACAATTGTTGGAAAAAGATAGCTCTGTTATAAACACACTTGAAAAACAGCCAAATAAAAATGTACAGTAAGAAAATCCATCAGGATAAAATACTGTTTTATTCCCCTCCCCCAAAATAGTTTCCACATTATATAAGTAACTGGAAAATAATCTGCAAGAAGCATGGATATATGTTAAAAATGTTTTTAACATGTCATTTACTTTCAATGATTTGAAAAAGCTGCAAAAATGCAGCACAATTAAATATAAATGTATATAAATGATGCTTAAGTGCCCATATCTATGTAAAAGAGGGAACCTTGCTTGGTGGTACCTGATGCTTAATTGAGACTGGAACTGGAATAATATTGGCAAAAGCTGTTTATAATCAAAGAATCTTGGGAACTGCAGTTTGAAGAAAGTGTGCGCAAGCAGCTGTCACTCACAATTCTTTTTCTCTTTCGTTGATCCACATCTCCCATGGAAAAAGTACAAATATTAAACCAGCTTCAATCTCTAATGTGAAGACACCCTAAGTATCCAAGGGTGTATTTTTAAATGTATACTTGGCACAATATTTTAGCTGTTTCTTTGCTGTTCTTCTGCTTGAAGACGTCTTAGGACATACAAGATAACTTGATAGCAGAAAATGTATTGGTCCTGTAAAAGGAAGGAATTATTGCATATTCTCACAGAATACAAATACAGAACACAAGCACGTTTTGGCTGTGATACAGAAAATTCTGCTTAACAGATTCCCACCCTTCCTTACACAATATTCGTCATCCTCAGCAAAAGATGGATTGCGTCTTTTGGATGTATTTCATGAGAGGTTGCAAAATGTATGGGTAGCCAATATATAAAAATCTCCTGGCTGCAATAGTGCAAGCAGTTTCAAATCTCAAAAAAACTGTATAGTCCCAGGAATATTCTTTAAAAATGTCACAGAGAAGGAAATGTGAGAAATTTGCACGCTGAAACTTCCTTTCCATCACTTAATTTTTATCTTCAGAATTTCACTCTTTCCTTCGGAGGGAGTTAAATATAAACATTTATTTATTTAATATTTCGTATTTAGAAACTGCCCATCTTCCTGATAGAACGACTCTGGATGTTTTCTAAATATGATATATAAATAATTATTTTTAAATTACGCAGAATATTTGAAAACAAGTGCTTTGCAAAGCAGGTTAGTGCAAAGCAGGTTAAAGCAGCTACATCTTTTGTAATGCAGACATGGCTGCTTTAAAAAGCTGAGACAGAATCAACTGTGTTTTACACAGCTCTGTTTTTTTAGTCATTCCTCTTGCCCCATTGTTACTCATTTTACAATGTAATATGAAGACATTTTTTTCTGATTTTTTTTTAACTCAGCATTTTATAGATCTCGGAACTGCAATTTGCTTTTATGTTGGTTTGCCTTCTTACTGCCCTCACTTTGTAAAGTTTCATTCCATGATTGGTTTTATTTTTAATTTCCATGATTATAAAACTATCCAGAGAGTCTCAGGTACTAAGAAATACAGAAATCCAATAAAATAAATACATTATCCATTTTTTCCTTTGCTTTCATTTCCCAGGAGTCTTGTTGGGACATGTTAAGAAATTAGAAAACCTGAGAAGCAAGACCATGTGTTGCAATTTAGGATAAATATACCTCAGTTTGCACCATGCCATGTCTTTGCAAACGCATCAGCCGCACCACTTCGGAGATATCAAACTGTGAAAAAAAAAAGACACCCAATTTAAATTGCATGTTGTTAAATTTTTATGGAAAGGTTACAATTGATGCTCAGCACTAAATATAACTCTTGGCCTTCACAAAGCAGGGTAGAGAGGGCAGGTGAATGCTCAACTCGTTTCCATACTTTTTCCTCTTCTCCCAGAATCTTTCTCTTCAGCTTTTTCTTCTAATAAAGCTTGCAGGAAAAAGCTGATGAAAAAAGCTGTTGAGAAATGTTGGCAGGAAGAGAGGAAAAACATCCTCCTGGAAAGTTTTTATGGTGAATGTCCAACTTTACTCTCTTTTCTTTGTGGCTTGCATCCCAATAGATGCAGGAAACCTCAGTTGCAAGAACTTTGTCTGCATTTGGTGCCACCTTCTGATGAAGCTATGAATATTCCTATCTTTTAAAATCTGCATTCTGATTTGCATATTACTCCAATGTTGAGACAAGGAATCTCAGAAGACAAGGAGCTTATACTAATAAAATCAAAAACTTCTGAAAAATTTCTCATGGATAATATATTAAAATTGTACTGTGCAGCCAATGGAGATTTTAAGAACAGACTAAAGTGTGATGAGCCAGATGTATATCAATAAACTACTCAATTATCTATTGTAAGATTAATTAAGATAATCCCAATTTGGAATTCTTCAGGTGGGTTTGGATGACCAGAATTCCCATAGATGGCCACCTAGAATTTCGTGAATTACAAATCTTTGTTTGAAGGGTTGGAGGAAGATTCATGTAGGTTTACTCACCTTGAGGTCTTGGCTGATTAAGCCCAGGACCACGTCAAGGCAGATAAGCGTGCCTGATCGCCCAATGCCTGCACTGCAGTGAGTAATGATGGGTCCTGATTTGTGGATGTGCCTCATGTAGGAGATGAAAGTTATCAAATCATCTGGTTGAGATGGTGTGTCATGATCTGGCCAAGCAGTAAAGTTTAAATGGGAAATATGCCGGAGTTCACCTGTCTGTAGATTTGAAATTCAAAGAACACATACAGTAAAATTAAGACCATCTGTTCTGACCCACATCCTTGTCCAACAAATCACACACAATCCAAAATGAACAGAAACCTTGTAATGCTTTTACAAAATAATTAGCTGTGATAAGCACAAGCCTTGCCAAACTGTGCAAGACTTGCCGAAAGATAACAGACAAGAAATAATTTGCAATACAAGAATCTTCAAATACAAACTCAGGATACTGGAACGTCCACGAGGCTGGAGTTTCAAAACGTCTTTGCCTTCTGCAAAGTACGTTCCTTTCACAGCTGGCTTTTAGCTTCTTGAAGGAGAGGCCATTACCTTGTAGCCTTACTCCTGAGTCGCCTGTGCTGTTGTAGCTGCTCTTTCCTACAAGCAATCCTGCGCACATGCACACTTGGCACAGGCTCCTCGGGAAGCTCCTCATCGCTGCTGCCAGCCCCCACAATCTCTGAAGGCAGCAGTCCACTCCCTAATGGTCCTGGATGTAAAGTTTATAGCTGAGTCCTCGCTCTCCTCAGCCGTCCGCACCTGCTGCCGGCTAACCACAACACTATCAAGTATCCTGAAGTGGATGAATCTCACAACAATGATGAACAGCCTAATCAAACTTTAAAAAAAAATCCAATCCATAGCCAAGTTCTCTTTTCTTCATTACACTTTCTTTCAACTTAGCATCTTCCAGATATATGGCGACTCAGCTCCCCAAATTCTTAGCTAGCTTCAACCTAGAATGGTTCCAGATCACTCTCATGTAGAACCATGGGAAACGTAACATGATTGATATTAGTCAGAGGGCCCTTTGTTTCAACAATGGGGAAAGATTACCATGCGCAAAGCAGAAATTTTAGGGTCTAGCAGTTGTTAAAGAAATGAAATCTCCTCAAGAGACAGATTGGAAGACTGCAAGCATTGTAATAACGGTAGTCCTCCACTTACGACCACAAATGGGAGCGGAATTTCCATCGTAAGTCATTGCAATCATAAGTTACATTTCACAATCATTTTTATAAGGGACATTAAGCGAATCACACAGTCATTAAGTAAACCATGCAGTCATTAAACAAATCCAGCTTTTCATTTTTCTGGCTGGAAATCCGCAAAACTTCACATGAGCCCAGGACTCCCAACTCATAAATGTGGGACAGTTGCTAAGCAACCCAATCGTGATCACGTGACCTTGGGGGTGGTGCAATGGTCATAAGTGCGAGTACAGGTCTTAAGTCACTTTTTCTGAGGCCGCCATAGCTTTCAACCACCTTTAAATGAATGGTTGCAAGTTGAGGACTACCGGTACCTATACTACAGATGTCCAAAATACAATCAAACTTGGCTAAACTCTAGAAGTTTGCTAAAGCTTTTCAATACCTCTTGATTTGCAGGTAAGATCTTGGCTCATCATAATTGTTTAATATTTCGTTCTTTAAACATTAAACACTTCTACAGATAGTCCTTGACTTACAACAGTTGATTTAGTGACAGTTTGAAGTTACAACAGTACTGAAAAAAGTGACTTATGACCATTTTCACACTTATGACCACTGCAGCCTCCCCATGGTCACATGATCAAAATTCAGATGCTTGGCAATTGACTCATATTTATGACTATTGCAGTGTCTTGGGGTCATATGTTCACCTTTGGTGACCTTCTGATAAGCAAAGTCAGTGAGGAAGCCAGATTCACTTAACAACTGTGTTACTAACTTAACAACTGCAGTGATTTACTTGACAAAGTTGTCAAGAAAGGTCGTAAAATGGAGCAAAACTCAAGGAACAAATGTCTCGCTTAGTAACATAATTTTTTTTGGCAATAAGTCAATTGTGGCCATAAGTCGAGGACTATAGTATTTCATGCATTTTTGCATTTATTTTCAACAACCCTATGCAAATTGAATCCTGTCTGAATCCTTTGTCCCCAATGGCAAGTTGATGGACAACTAATCAAGACTGACAACTAATCAAGGAGAGAAGCAACCTGGAATTGAGGAAAAATGTCTTAATAGTGAGGACAATTAACCAGGGGAACAACTTTGCCTTCAGATGTTGTGGATGCTTCATCACTGGAGGTTTTTAAGTAGCGACTGGACAATCACTTGTCTGGGATGGTATAGGATCTCCTGCTTGAACATGGGGGCTGGACTAGAAGATCTCCAAGGTCCCTTCCAGCTCTATTCCGATTCTAATTCTAATTCTAAACTTTGGATCCATAGAAACAAGAAAGATGAGCAGAAGCGAGTTTTTCACCCCCTCTGATTTCTCAGGCTGGTTCGCCCATAAAACCACCCTCAAAACAAAGAGTCTTACCTGAATGTCCTCAAGTTCCATGATTCTAATGATGAAACCTTTGAGTTCCTGCAGCTGAACCAGAGAAAGACGGAGGCTATCGTTGACCATTGTGGTTTTGCCAAGAGCGTTGGGCCAGTACCGCTGACATTTGACCTTTTCTCCTTCTACTTCCTGGGTCATCATGGCTATAAGAGTGCATTTCTGTTCCCAAGCCATTTGCCAGAAGTCAGCCACCGTATTAGGGAGGGGTCCTTGGCATGCAATGTAAAGATATTCCTTTGTCCCCACCAGCATCCGGATAAAACTGGCATTGATATAGCCGCCTTCAGGCCCAAGAAGCACCCTTGTGGTGTCATCTGCAGTTCCCAAGAGAGAAGGACATGGTCTTCATTAATTGTCACTATTATTATCAACTGAGCAATAAGGATAGAATTATACCACATACCAGCAGCAGCTTGTAATTTGAAGGTAAAACCAAAAAAGAAGAGGAAAGAAACAGAGGACAAAAGAAAAGTGTGGCGAATATGCTAACATTTCAATTCCATGTACTTATCTATTTAGCCATAATATTATTTCCAGCCCTCTATCTTAACTATGAGAACCAGTTTGGTGTAGTGATCAAGGCGCTGGGCTAGAAACCAGGAGATTGTGAATTCTAGTTCTACCATAAGCACAAAACCAGCTGGGTGACCTGGGGCCAGTCACTCTGTCTCAGCCCTTGGAAGGAGGCAATGGCAAACCATTTCTGAAAAACCTTGTCAGGGATTTCTCTATGCAATCACCAGGAGTTAAAATGGACTCAAAGGCGTATGCGCATGCGCGCGCGCGCGCACACAAACATGGACTATGGGAGATTTTAAGCTTGCTTCCACTTAAATATGTGCAATTAAGAAATAAAACTGGATGTAAAGTTTATAGCTATGAATAATATCACTGACTGCTACATTATTATTATTTCCCTAGGATATAATTCCTGCTGAATTATTCCCCCGTGTGACTATCCTCAAAATATGACACTACTATATTAAACCAAAGAATTAATATGACCACTTGTGCAACAAAGTATGTTTTTTTTTTTAAAAAAGGCTTAATTTTCTAAGAGAAATCAGCCACACTTCTACAGGTAATCTTCTGACATAAATATTCCATCTGTTGCTGTCTCAAAGGCAGTCATTAATGACTACAAGAATTAAGAAGAATAAATTAAATAATAAGCGGCCTTTTGGAAGTCAAAACTTACAAGGCAGAATGTTCTTATATCTATTCTTCTTTCTGTTTTCCTTCGTTTGGCCAACCAAACATTGATCCAGTGGCTTTAAATCATGAAGACTCTGTAATGACAAAGTATTCTTAACTGAATGAAAAATTGTTTAAGTCTTCTTTTGCCTTTAAAGAAGAATATATTGCATTATATATGGTCTATATCACCCAGATCAACACATATGGCCGAGAGATTTGAAGTGTGAGATAAGGTTTAGTTTAATAGCTTGATAATGAACAATTAGATTATTCAACTACAGCTTTAGATTAACACTCTCATGAATAGAGCTTGCAATTAAATAATTAAGCAAGGTATAAATGACAAAGAACCATGGAAACAATGATGGCAGTAAAACATGGGATCGTTTAGGGGAGTAGCAAGTATAGAAAATAATTGATATTTTATAAAATGACTGAATAATTTCAACAATATTCTTATTTCTCTAGTGTCAGGTAAACCCTACAAGAACCCTGGTACTTATGGACATCTTGTTTGTGCTCAACAGATCCCTTGGTCAAACTGATATTCATGGAAAATTGGGTTTCTGTTGGCACCAAATTAAATGTAGTCCTTCTCTTACGACCGCAAAAGAGCCCAAATTTTCTGACAGCTGTTAAATGAGTTTTGCCCCATTTTATGACATGTGAATCACTGCAATTGCTAGGTTAGTAACACGGTTGTAAAGTGAATCTGGCTTCCCCATTGACTTGGCTTGTCCGAAGGTCGCAAAAGGGGATCATACGGGACATTGCCACCGTCATATATATGAACCAGTTGCCAAGCATCCCAATTTTGATCACGTGATGTTATGAAATGTTGCAACGGTGGTGTGAAAAACGGCCATGTCACTTTTTTCAGTGCTGTTGTAACTTTGAATGGTTACTAAACAAATGGATGTAAGTCAAGGACTACCTGTATTTTTTTAAATGAAGTTGTGTACAGATGTAAAGAATTTGACAAGGGGGGGGGGGAGGAAATTAGACTTAAACATGCATGTGAACTTTCTTAGCACAGATTGAGATGAACAAAGGAAGTGAAGAAAATGGTGGAATTTTCTTGGTGGTTTGCTTCCAGATGTTCCATTACCCAGCTAGCCAACATCCCCATTACCACGTCTGAGCTACAAATATACTCTTATACAGGTAGTCCTTGACTTATGATTGGACCTTAGCAACCTTCCAAAATTATGATGGACCTGCAAAATGTGATATATGGCCCAAATTTGAAGTTCCTACTGTCAGGGCTCCGGCATCCACCCTCATTCAAATCATGAGTCTCTACCCACGTTTCTCAGAGTTAAAAAAAACAAACAAGATTTATTAGGAGTGAACATAACAGCTCTACCTGGGTGCAGCCGACTCTGAGACACATCATTCATCTCACCCTTGACCCTGGTCTTCCCCCAACCCCCTGGATGTATATTCTCCAATGGGACACATCCATAGCCAAGAGTCATCAATCGTGCTCTCCAGTAATAATCTTGCACTCCAGAAGCTTCGGCCCGCCTAGCCATTATCTATGAAAGCATTTTAGGAATGCACTACTTCCTCCAATCCCTTTCTGCTGTCAACTCTAAAAGACCTGAGAAATATTTTTGAGTTGACACCAACATCTGTGCGTCTCTCACAGTCACTTGACCGTATGCGTTTATGGCTCTTTGCAGTGCCCTGCAGTCACACAACCGTAATATATACTATTTGTTTATTCCTATTTTCAGGGTTGGCTTTACAGAAGTTCCGCTCACCTCAATTTCCTTAGATGGGACCCCTTGTTCTAACACACCCCGTAACTTCTGAATAGTTGATTTTAATTTGGATCCTGTGTAGTTGCCCGAAGGAAAAAATTGGACTACTGGAAGAGCAGCAAGTTCTTCATTGGTGATTAATGGGCAGTCTGGAACAGAAAGTAGATAGATGTATTGGTGTCGATAAAAATCCACATAAAAACTCCTTTCGATGCTGCTAACTTATGAACTATAGCAACTGTGGTCACCATGATATAATTTGCAGGCTGTCAGAGGCTGATCAAAACATACTATGATGACAACCTTTATAAAGGCTCCCATAAATAACCCAAGTGGTAAACAACTCCTGAACATTAAACTTTTACATTCAATGCTTAACCCTTACCATGACACTTGGATTTTCATTCAATTTACAACACCACCTAAAAACCTATTTCATACTTACAAAAAAAGTTGTTTCTTTCCACAACTGATCTATTACAATCCTATTCCTCTCTCTTTCACAATGAAAACCCTCAATTACGTCCATAAATTGAAAGGACATAATTGGCCAATTTAAGGAAGGACCTGTCTAATTAGTTGGCCTTTTGTAAACATAGAGTTACCGCATCTGAGCTACCAACATTTGGGCAACCACTAGATGGAAGCAGGAGATACAGGAAACTCTTCATGCAATAATTGGGTGTTTTGTCACCAGCCAATTGATTCTGGCAGCCTTGTTGTGAATATTGTAAGCAAACCTCTTTCTGTCCATCATTTTAGGAGATTTACCCCAGAATAATGGAACATTTCCCTTATGCAAACTAGAGCTTTGAGCTAGCTTGAATGGCAAAAGAGTGAGAGCAGTCATCCAGAGTTTTTCCAGTCCTATTAAAATTATATTAAGTAGGAATGATGTGGTGGCCTAGAGGTGGAGTTCTTGCCTCACAATCAGGAGGCTGTGAGTTCGATCCTAGGTAGAGGAAGATATTTCTCTCTCTGGGCACAATGACAATATATATGTACTGAGCAAAACTCTGAATTGGTGACAGGAAGGGCATCTGGCCGGTAAACACTTTGCTAGCTCTATTCAATTGCCCACAAGGAACTATGGGGTCATTAAATGATGATGATTAAAGTTAAGTTGCCCAGAAAAATACCACTTAGTGGCAACAGAACAGTTCTAAATTATCTTAACTTTCAATAATTGTCTGCCTCTCATTGGCAGTGGGAATCTAGATAGGTAGACCTACATTTCTTCCAGCTTTTAAAGTTCCATGCCTCAAGTCTTGCCTCAAATGACACTTCGGTTGTGAGCAACCATTACAAGACACAGGAGGATCACAAACTTGACATGAAGATTTTTCCTGCCTCAATACATTGTATGGTCAAGCAATAGGCTGGGAAGAGTCCACTTGCCCAAACACTTGTGAGCTGCAGTAAGTCACAACTTGGGAGGAATTCTCAAGAAACCTCCAAATTCTAATTTTTAACACCAACAACAGAAAGGAGACTAAATATTTGAAAAGTGATTGGAGTCACTAATGACATTTAAATGTACATCAAATCCAAATTAATTTGTTTCATCGTTTCATAGTTCTCTGTCCTGATCTTGCTGATATTTTGGAGCGTCCCTCTTTCTGATCAGAGAAATCAACTTTGAAGACGACAATAGTTGATTTAAGGTAACTTCCTAGATAGAGAGTTCCAGATAGTTCCTGAATATGAAAGGAATTAATCCTCAGGGATTCTACTGCCAGGTGGAGATGAAAATTATTTTTTTGAAAACTCTAAAACTAGAAATCTAGTTTGTTACTATCAATATTACTGTTTCCAGGACTAACTGACATTAAAAAATGACAAATGTTGGGATTTTAGCAGCTGTCCATTTGGAGGATACAGTAATGGCTGCCTACCTTTAACAGACTGTGGCTGGTTTATTGATTCAATGGGCAACTCCTCACTTCCCCAGGTAATGTCATCATCATCTGCCTGAGCCATCACAGGTTGCTGAGGTAATCTGAAAAAAATATATGAAAAATACATTCTTCTGAGACAAAAAATAGACATTTCTCTCCCAAAAGACAATAATAATTTTAATTGACAGAGGCGACAAAGTACAATGAAATTATTTTCTTAATCAGAATGATGGGTATAAATGATGGGTTTTTCCCCTCATTTTTTTTGAAAAAGATATCTCACCTACATTCTAACGCATGGGTGTCAAACTCGATTACGTCATGGGCCTGCGCTTGTCATATCACATTTTTTGCCTTTGTGAAGCCGGGGTGGGCATGGTCTGTGCGTGACATATCGGGCCCGTGGGCCGCCAGTTTCACAGTCCTGTTCTAACAGATCACCCTACTGGATGTTTCATGTAAGGACATGAGAAATAAAGAACAGCCTAAAAATAGCAGGAGAAAGCTGAGTCCTGTAGCCTGCTATCTGAAATCCAGTAAAATAAATCCATCACCTCAATTATTGATATTAAAAGCACTACATCTCATTTTAGTGAATGGATTGCTGCTGCTAAATCCTCAAATGGAAAAAAATCATGATTTCTTACTGAGAAGGCAATAATCCAAGACAGGTAAGCATGTTCAAGCTCATTGATTTCAAGAAGTTTATATTGTTTTGGTTTGTGACCATCGAGTAAATATTGGAACAGTGAAGAAAAACAGTCCACTATTGAGCCTGGTTGGTTAGTATAGGTAAAGATTTTGCCACAAACTGGAAGAGATGAATAAGTGGTAGGAATTTTTTAAAACGAATATGTCTTGGAAACAGAGTAATCATAGTTAAGATTTGGGAAAGGCTTCAGTTGATGATCTCGTGAGCAAAAAACAAAACAAAATCATCACTGTCCCATTCTTTTTGGGAGCTTTTTACAATTTGTGTTCAAAATCTCTGTAGTTTCCTGGGTATTTCCGAAAGGTATAACCTAGCACTCCCATTATAAACGTTTATGTTCATTCCCAAGGAAAGGACTCACCGTCCATACATCCTGTTGCCATTGCAATGTTCTTCACAGCCATTTATTTGGGTCTGCTAAGGGAAAAGGCAGATTAGAAAGAGTTTGCAATCAACTACAGACCACACAAGGGAGAGAGAACTTTTTTATATAATAGATAGAATTAAATTCTTTATTGGCCAAGTGTGATTGGACACACAAGGAATTTGTCTTGGTGCAGATGCTCTCAGTGTACATAAAAGAAAAGATACATTTGTTAAGAGTCAAGAATCACCAGGTACAACACTTAATAATAGTCATAGGGTACAATAAGCAATTAAATCATACTAGGAAACAGTCCATATATGTCGTAAGGATACAAGCGACAAAGTTACAGTCATACAATCATAAGTGGGAGGGGATGGGTGATAAGGAATGATGGGAAGGTTAATAGTAATAGTAGTGCAGACTTTGTAAATGGTTGGACAATGTTGAGGAAATTATTTGTTTAGCAGAGTGATGGCGTTCGGAAAAAAACTGTCCTTGTGTCTAGTTGTTCTGGTGTGCAGTGCTCTATAGCATCGTTTTGAGGGAAGAAGTTGAAACAGTTTATGTCCTGGATGTGAGGGGTCTGCAGATATTTTCACAGCCTTCTTTTTGACTCGTGCAGAATACAGGTCCTTGATTGAAGGCAGGTTGGTAGTAATTGTTTTTTCTGCAGTCCTAATTATCCTCTGAAGTCTGTGTCTGTCCTGTTGGGTTGCAGAACCAAACCAGACAGTTATAGAGGTACAGATGATAGACTCAATAATTCCTCTATAGAACTGTATCAGCAGCTTCTTGGGCAGTTTGATCTTTCTGAGTTGGCGCGGAAAGAACATTCTTTGTTGTGCTTTTTTGATGACGTTTTCCAGACTATAAGAAATTTCTCTGCTTTTCTGCAATAGATTTTAGTGAAATTTCAGCCAACCTGACATGTTGCTGGAAGATTGTTAATGTTTTAATTATATAGCCTATTTGCATATCGATAAATCTCCACTTATAACAACTGTTCAAAGTTACAATGAACCTATTACCCTAAAAGCTACTTACAACCTGTTTTTAAAGTTACAATGGCTTCACCTCCCCTGCTATTACATGATCACATTTTGGCTCTTGGAAACAGAACCATCTTTATGGCTGTTTGCAGTGTCCTGCAGTCATGTGACCATGCTTTCGGGGGTGGGGGAGGATTTGCTGAGTTTTAGCGAATTGCCTCTCGTTTCTGGCAAAAAACCCCATCCATTTGATAAAATCAATTTGCTTAATGACCATCACAAACTAAAAATAAAAATCAGGTCCAGTCACATAATGCTTTGCCTTACGACCGCAACAATGTACTACTTGTAATTCCGGGCTCAATTATATGATGAATAGACAACTCCCCCAATGTATCTTTTGGTCTTGTAGGACCGTTTTGCAGGAGGTTGTTGTTAGGAATCTGTCCACCAATTAGTTGGGTTGGCAAAAAATAAACCAAAAATGTATGTTTGTAGCTTTAAGACAAAATCACTGTATTGATTTATACTATATTCCGATTGGTTGATTATATTGCAAATTACCATAAGAGGGAGCTAGAGATCATAGCTTGCTCTCTCTGACATTCTCTCTCTCTGATATTCTGTCTCTCTGACATTCTGTCGCTATCTAAGGTTCTCTGTTGTATTTATGCTGTGCTTATACTTTGATATCTTTGTTTGCTGTAAATGACAAAGGCACCCAGTAAGAAGATTTTGTAATTGGATATTCTTTGGACTGTTAAACGTATACGACCTGGACTGTTTATTGGACTCTGCTATTGCTTAAAGTAAACTTTAACTCAATTCAGCGTATCTGTGTGTGGCTGAATATTCATAACTACTCTCATAAACGTTTCCATGTGCATATCCTTATTACTCAAGGGTTATTCTGTACATATCGTAACAGTTGTTCCATCAAGAGTGTTATATTTATATTAGAGTTATACAGGTTATGTTTTGACTGGAGATATAAAGAAGTTATGGTTAGAATTTGACTTTACTAAAGACAAATTAATGGGAATAATTTTATTAGGTCTTCATTTTACATTCTGTGGTAGTCTTAATTATGTGATGGATGAGATTGTCTTTCGGCATTATTTACAAAGTACTTATCCATTGGAATATAAAGAAGTGAGGATGAGGGTTTTGATTAATTAAGGACTTTGGTGTCTGTTTTTCTGTCTGTCTGTTTAGGTACCTATTTTTCTTTTTTGTTTGGCTTTTTGTTTTGTTTTATGAGGCACAGTGAGATAGGACTCGGTTGAGGACTGTTTTTTAAATATCAAACACACATTTAGCTCATCCTACATTGGATAGGATGAGAGGTCAGCCAACGAAGTCAAGGAGAAAGCTGGGTTAAAAATAATAATTATGATACCTCTGAAAAATCTTCAGGCAAAGATGACCCATCATAGTCTGTGTCCTCTGATTTCTCTTCCAAAAGTTTCCCATTTGTCTCTGCAGAAAGAGAAACACACTGTAGGAAAAATCGCCAACGTAAAAAGTGCAGCTGGACCATGCATACCCATCTGTTGTAAAATAACAAAGGCCTGGAAATTCGGAAAGTCACTCCCAATTATGTCTGAGGGATGAACTGGGAAAATGAACAGGGACAATATTGGTAGGATTGTGGGGGGCTATTTTGGGAGACTTAATCCATTTGGTCCCCGCTGAAAAAACATGGAAATTATTTGTTGTTAGTCAACAGTTTGCCACAAGCTTTGCAACAGGACAATCCTGGGGGATTTTAGAAGCTGCACACTGCCAGAGAAGCTGAAGGCTGCCCATTTGTTCCTTGAAGGGTTTTTTGTGATAAAAAAAGACAAAACAAAAAGTGCAAAAGCAAGAGGACAATATGAAAAACAACAATTTGTTTGTACACTTCCATGCATCAAGTTGCACAACTGAACAACTGAAATCTCAGTCAAAAGTCCCTTCAAGTACCTTAAAGCAGGG